CATAAAAAAACACTTTGCTGGCTAGCAGGAGGACAAGAGGGGAGAGAGAAAGAGAGAGAGAGAAAGAGAGTCTAGTGTTATTTGGCAGGAAGCTCCATAGTCTGGATGCGGCCATCACAAAAGGCCACTGTGCTGGAAGACTCTCCAAAGCTTGGAACAAAAGCTTCTCACACCCTTTCTGAACCAACCAGACTGAATTCAAGATCCTCTGCGTGCCAACAACGTGTTTTGCAGTGGTAACAGTTCCTCCCCTGACCCTCACTTTCCATTCGGAGGGGCCACGTGGCTCCGGTGAAACATGGCCACATTCCTCTTTATGTCCCAACTATGCGAAGTGGAACGGAATCATTTGTTGGGTGTTTTTTGGGGGGGGGCAGGGAAGGGGGAAAACCAAGCAGCCATTTCCTGGAAGCCAGCGGTGATGAATAATACATTGCCCATTAACTGAAGCTAACGGCATCTCCATCTCGACTGTGGAGGTTAATAGAGACATTGCAAAGCTTTTATGGATCAATAATACAGCCTTTGGGCCACAATGACATCCGATCCTACGTCCACACATCATAGGTTTTCTAGCAGTCGTGGAATACATGCATTCAGCATTCCAGAGCTGGATTCGCAGCAGACAGAAAAAATGGATATTTCAAAATGTCCACAGTTTTCTATTCTCATGTCATAAAAAAAAAAAAGGGAGTTCCTAAATCTGAGAAACCAAACAACCTTGAAACACATACACACCCATGGGGTCCCCTTTCGTATCCACATCATGTTTCAGGTGTCTAGGCTTCAAGGGCTTGAAACGACAGCCCTGCCAGACAGATGCACATCTTTCTTCTTCTTCTTTTCTTATGATAGAAGTATCCATGAAGTGGAGGTCAAAAAGTAGATTCCAGGAAGCCAGAAGATTTTCTAAGGAAACTACCTGAGCCATTCTGAGCCTGACCTGCTAATTCCAGGAAAGACCCTAGCTGTTTGCATCTATATTCTAATGACTAGCTGTTGCCTTGCCACACACCAGCCCTGCTTTATCCATTCAGGAGTCCCATGCTGGTATTTTTAAAAAGCAAGCATTCCACACACAGTGAGGAAAGAAAGCAATGACGGCATCTATCCTGCTCCGACCATTAGGCCCTACAGTTTGGCCACTGGTTGCTCACCTCACTATGCATTGCTAAGTGCAACCTGATGCATATGTCCCTGTTCAGTCCGCCACTTCCATTGAATTTAGCTGCAGGCTTCAAGTCTACAACATCTGTATTGCCCAGCAGCCGATATCTTACAGCTGCTCTGATGGGCTGTAACACCAAGGGTTCCCCCCCCCCACTGGTGAGGCCTCAGCCAACTATTCTGTATCCTAACAGACAATTCATTCTTCAGGTACCAATCCTTATAAAGCCAAAACAAGGCACCAATCATATACAATTAGGCAGTATCAACAAGCTCAGGAGAATCCCAAGATTTGTATTAGCATACATATATGAAAATGGATGGAGGAGACAACAGAATAGAATGGATCCATTGTCCTGGTGGAGAGCATGTCTAGTTAGCTGGCTGGAACCCTGAACGAAAGCATCCCATAATGCTCAGTTGCAGGTCCCTCTTTGGACCATGAACCCATGATCTGCCTAACAAAGGAATGTTTGCAAAAATATATTTCGATGTACAGTGGTGCCTTGCTTTACGATTGCCCCGCATTACGATGAAACCGCTTAAGGATGATCTTTTTGCGATCGCAATTGTTATCACAAAACAATGGTCTGAATGGGGGGATTTTGCATTGCGATGATTGGTTCCCTGATTTGGGAACCAATTCTTCGCAAAAATGACATTTTTTGAACAGGTGATCGGCGGTTTCAAAATGGCCGCTAGGTGATTAAAATGGCTCCCCGCTGTGTTTAGGGAGATAGCTTTTATTAGAAAACACCTCACTATGCATTGCTAAGTGCAACCTGATGCACATGTCCCTGTTCAGTCCGCCGCTTCCACTGAATTTAGCTGCAGGCTTCAAGTCTACAACATCTGTATTGCCCAGCAGCCGATATCTTACAGCTGCTCTGATGGGCTGTAACACCAAGGGTTCCCCACACACACACACCGATGAGGCCTCAGCCAACTATTCTGTAGCCTAACAGACAATTCATTCTTCAGGTACCAATCTTTATAAAGCCAAAACAAGGCACCAATCATATACAATTAGGCAGTATCAACAAGCTCAGGAGAATCCCAAGGTTTGTATTAGCATACATATATGAAAAAGGATGGAGGAGACAACAGAATAGAATGGATCCATTGTCCTGGTGGAGAGCATGTCTAGTTAGCTGGCTGGAACCCTGAACGAAAGCATCCCATAATGCTCAGTTGCAGGTCCCTCTTTGGACCATGAACCCATGATCTGCCTAACAAAGGAATGTTTGCAAAAATATATTTCGATGTACAGTGGTGCCTTGCTTTACGATTGCCCCGCATTACGATGAAACCGCTTAAGGATGATCTTTTTGCGATCGCACAGAAGGTCCGGGAACTTTGCATCGGATTATCGTCGTTAAGCAAGGCACCACTGTACTGGACATATTGTGCATCAACACAATCAGAGGTTTCTAATTGCATGGGTGTAATAAGTCCTGGTTGTGAATCCTTACAGGAGTTAATGTAGGTTTTTTAAAAATTGGTTGTCCAGGTGGGAGCTTTAGGGATGAAAAAGGTAATTTCTGAAACTACAAGACTCACCTTCAAGGTGAGTCGTTAAGCAAGGCACCACTGTACTGGACATATTGTGCATCAACACAATCAGAGGTTTCTAATTGCATGGGTGTAATAAGTCCTGGTTGTGAATCCTTACAGGAGTTAATGTAGGTTTTTTAAAAATTGGTTGTCCAGGTGGGAGCTTTAGGGATGAAAAAGGTAATTTCTGAAACTACAAGACTCACCTTCAAGGTGAGGGAGGGCCAAAATGATCCTTGGGCCCACCCAGTTTTTCTCTCTAATTGAGAAGCCCCCCACCATCTCCTTTGAGAAAATTCATGCTTTCTTTCTTGAAACTGAAAATATGGATTTTTAATGGCCCTATTGGGGGGAGGCGGCGGCTAGGGGCTACACAGAAGGTCCGGGAACTTTGCGCTGCCCCATTTTACGGCAAGGCAGTGTGGGATTGAGTGGTTATCTTCTCAGTTGAGAAACTGGAACCTGTTCCGGGCCGTACATTCTGTATCGTGGTCCTCTGATCTGAAGAACTAGCTAAAAACACTGGAGTTTCTTTTCATTGGATCAGTGTGTGCTGTTGAGTTAGGTAAAGGTAGAGGTTTCCCTTGACATTTAGTCCAGTTGTGTCCGACTATAGGGCGCAGTGCTCATCTCTGTTTCCAAGCCATAGAGCCAGCGTTTGTCCGAAGACAGTTTCCGTGGTCACATGGCCAGCGCGACTAGACACGAACGCCATTACCTTCCCACCGAGGTGGTCCCTATTTATCTACTCGCATTTCTACACACTTTTGAACGGCTAGGTTGGCAGGAGTCTGTTGATGTTGTGTCCGACTATAGGGCGCAGTGCTCATCTCTGTTTCCAAGCCATAGAGCCAGCGTTTGTCCGAAGACAGTTTCCGTGGTCACATGGCCAGCGCGACTAGACACGAACGCCATTACCTTCCCACCGAGGTGGTCCCTATTTATCTACTCGCATTTCTACACGCTTTCGAACGGCTAGGTTGGCAGGAGTCTGTTGAGTTACTCACTTCAAAAATAGAGCCACACTTCCTGTGTATCACACGCTATTAATTCATCTTTCCTAGTCACGTTGATTAAAAAAAACCAAACAAACAGTAGTGTTCTGGCAAGAATGAGGCGTTTCATATTAGGCCCGTTCATCTCCAAAGAACCTGACAGAACTAAGATTACGTTGATGGCGAATATGATGTGCCAATGTGGCTGGAAGTAACCAGAAGGACATCTCCAGTTCTGATTAAAGCCCTAAACAGGTCCCCACTTCCCAAGATAGCCTTTCAATACACACTCAGTCACACCCCCTGCGGTTTCTAGAGGCGCGATAGGCCGTTTTTAGGCAAAAAATAAATTCAGCCCCAGGCCTTACAATTTCTCCCTCAAATGATTAACATAATATTGAAAAATTAAACAAGCAAAGGGCTCCGAGGAGCTAATCCTTCTATAAATAGGTTCCGGGACTAAGCACGGAGTTCTGAAGCTTGCCATGTCCACTCAGCGTCCACGTTAAGAAAATCACATCGCGTTTTGAGGGGGAAGAGTCCACCTGCCTCATCATAACGACCCCATTGAGCTCCAGTGAACAGCCCACCCGCTGTTGTTCACCTATTCTGCATCCATGTGTCAGATGTGACAGCAGCAACTTGAAGGGACTGCAAAGAGTCTCTGGAGAGGGACAAAGAACGTGAAAGATTTTAAAGGAGGGAGTGAGGAAGCACGGCGGGGATGGTTGGCTGCTAGAAAAGGAGGTTACAATTAGTCTTTAGTACTGGTGTCTCGGCTGCCCTGTTTGCTCTGTGAGCAACTCCTAGTTTGCGTGAGAGTGTGTTATCTCCTGTTCAGCCAAGGCTATCTGGTTTGGTGAACTAATTTTTATCTGAAGTGCTTGTCTCATCAGACCCTGGCATGGCTTTTAGCTGATGACCAAACCCAGCAACGATCGCAATGGCTGGCCTCCAAAGGCAACACAAATTTGCCTGCTGACACACTGCGTGTTACTGTCATCACACAAAGTTGAGGAACAGTTAATGTATCTTCAAAAGGCCTAGACAATCTCCTCTATATACCATAATATATTTATGGTCTTATTTTATTTCCATGATGCTGTCCAGAATCCTACCGGCACTCACATAAGGCTTGCATAATTTGCTGCAGCTAATTGTGGCTAACTGATGAGGTGTTGGGTCCATGGACATTTCATCGATTAGCTACAATTAGCCAACATGAACACTGTCAAGGTTACCCCAGGTCAGAGAGGCCCACATTAACCATTCAGCCACACTAACCTGAATGTCCTGGCATGGATAAAATAGAGGAGACTGAAAACGTGCTGATGGATGGAGGAAATCTTCATGTCCGGTACCCTCTCATTCCCTTAGTCCACTCTGACTAAACAGTGCTTCCGGGGGGTTACCAAAATACCCACAAGGTTAAGGACTTTGGCTCTTACACCAGCCCTGCAAGGTAGGAATGCCAAATATAACTACAAAACATAGGGGCTCAGTACCAACAAACCTCTCAGTCCACAAGAATAAAAAAGGTATACAATTTTATATTCTATGAAAGGTGATGAAAAATCATAAACAGCAAAACTTTCAAACAGCTTTAACGGTTACAGAAGAGACAAAAAGCCTGTGGAGCAAATTAAGCTACCAAAAGATTTGAGGCAAGAACAATCCCACAAGACAAGAAAGCTAGCGAATCTATGCTAATGCATCCTGGCATAAATTCAGTATAGTTACAGAGCATGTACAGAGTGCAAGTAGTGTAGCAGACCAGCCAATGAGCATAGCATCCCTTAAGAGATATGAGGCTAAACCAAGTTAACTTCTGTCCCCATTTTACACCCAGATTTTTAATTTCAACACCATTCCAGGATATCTGTCAATTAAGCTGAGTTTCCCTGAACTTTCACACACAAAAAAGGAGCAACTTCTTTTCCCCTCCTTTACTCAGTTGAAGACATTCTGCTAATTAACTCTGTTACCAAGGTGCGGGATCAATCTGGCCTTGAAGCTTCCTTTCTCAAAGAGATACGGCACAGGTATTTTCTGCCATCCAATTACCAGTGAGTTCTTTCTCCCCTTTTTCTCAGCCAGCTTATCCTAGGCATCAAGTACAAAGTCTGATTTTCTAGAAGAGCAACAGAAACCATGATCCCTTATTTTTCCCAGTCGCTTGAATCACACCCAGTAGCATTCTGGCCTCTTTGCTGAATTTAATTTTATGGTTTTTTTTATCTTGTTTTAGGACTGTCAGCCACCTTGAGTACTAGCTAGCCGTGTAAAGGTGGGGTAAAAACATAAATCACAGCACCAACAATACGTCACGTCCTTAGCACCTGAACCATGTACCACTGTAGTCCAGAAAAGAGAACCAAGCCATTCATGCAAATCATAACTTCCATGCGCCCTTAAAAGTAACTGTCTTGCAAATCTCTCCTTTCTGCACTGTTCATGCATAGCAGGAAAGGACTGTTAAGGTTGACAGAACAGTAACAACAACCGTTAATAGGTGGACGAAGCCAACGTTATCATTATTTCTACTTATTGTATTGGATTATTTCTCTTTAAATTATTTCTGCCTTTTATTGACAGATCTCCAGGTGAGAGACAGTTCATAAAAACCATATTAAAAGGATCTAATACCTTTTAGATCCATGGGGTCACAAAGAGTCAGACACGACAACTAAACAACAACAAATACATTTCCAATACACTAAAACAACCCGAAGTATGTTCAAAGCATTTTAAAACAATATAACAATTCCTTGTTGCTGAAAATATGCCTTTTATAAATAGTAGTAACAGCAGGAAAAAAAACCAATACTAGATAATGTTGTTAATCACAGTTCCAAAGGAATCTTCTCATTCGTGGGCCTGGGGATGACCCATAACCTCCTTGCTTTTCCCACCACACCTCCCAATTTATTTTGCTAGTTTGGGCTGACAAGATAGGCAAAGCATCCTTGGAGGCGGTAGTGGCAGTCACATTCTGACAGCCCTACATAGGAAGCAAAGCTTAGCAGCTTCTTTCGAGCCGTGATATGGAGTCTTATCAATTAAAATTCTACATGAATCAGAGCTGTCTGCGAGGCAGGCGGAAAACCCCTGACCCCTTTGTGCAGCTGGAGACTGTGCTTCAAGCCAGTGGAATTCCAGGGAAGGCAAAGAGGACTTTCCCCATCACTTCCAATAATGTCTGCTTTTCTTTCGGGAAGTGGAGGGTTCTAGCCACGGTGGATAAAAATTGATTTACATTTTTTAAATTCAAATCAATGTTCTAATTTAAATCATAAAAAGTATGATTTTTTAAAAATGTTATTTAAATCCAATCCACCCTGGTTCTAGCTTTCACTCCCATGTAATAAAAACAAAGAAAGATGCTCCAAAATCCAAAATGCTCTCTATTCAAAAAGAGGTCCTGGTAACTACAATGAACCCTGCTTTTAGGTACCAAAACATCAGATTTCTTTTTTAAAGGCAAATCACAGAATTCCCCATCAAGCTCAACGGGGTTAACTTTCGACTGAACTGGCAATACTGACCAGAAGTTAGATTTCATTCACCTCCAACTAAAAAAAGGAACCTGACAGGGCCAGCCCTAACTTGAGGCAAAGGGACACAAGCTCCCTCTTGTGCAGCCACGACCACCACCAGAAACAGAAACTTAATTTTAGCTATACCTACGGTTAATCAGCCAACACCTAATCAAAGTCTATATGCCAGTTTTCTGAGCTTTGTGGTCTATGTAGCCTCTATGCCGGAGAGGGAGCTGGGCCACTGTGTCACAGCATGCATGCTTTGCATGTAGAGTCCAATGCCTGCCATCACCGGGTATGACTTGGGAAGATTCTTGCCTGCCGCTTTGCAGAGCTGCTGTCGCTGCCAGTCAGAACTGGCAATACTGAGCTACATGGGCCAAGAGTGACTCAGTATACGACAGCTTCCTCTCTCTGAATGTTCGGTACAAACACTGGGGGCACAGCCATAGAGAAAGGGGGCTAAACTCAAAGGACATCCACACACACGCCCTGATTCCATTCAGCCTTGTGTCATGACATTGGCTTCTCTTCCTACTGTAGCCTTGCTGTTCCCCACTCACCCACTTTTCCCAAACATTACCTCTTTGGCTGAGGTTGACTGGTCTTACGCCTGCTTTGCTTCTCCAGACACCCATTCCTTCCAGCCAGGCTGTGTGGAGAGCTGACCCACCGCACATCCCAGAAAACCTTTGACTGACGCCACTTTCTTGAGCAAACTCTTCAACCACTGCTCCCCTCCCCATGATGAGCTCCACCCTCCTGTGCTAGAGTTTGCCCTAGAGTAATCCAGACTTTGTCCTATCTCATCTCTTGCATCAGCTGAGAGGGAAAGGAAGCAGGTCAATTGCCTGGAACAATTTAATGGCTTGCTTAAATTAATTATCTTCAATTAACTGATCGAACCCTTTTCAATCAACTGAAACCATACCCAGGAGAAGCAATGCTTTGCAAAATTACCTACCTAGATCCAAAGGCTACGATGCCCATGAGTACTAACCAGCCCTCTACCAACTAAGGGGGAAATCACACCATTGAATTTCAGTGGTGCAAAAGAGGGGATGAGATCCTGCTTTCTTTAAAATGTGGTCTGCAGGAGGGGTGTGCCTTTGTCTACAAAGAAATTCATGTGCCTGTCTGCAGGAAGCACCAAACAGTTTCAACCACATATGTCCATGCAGTTCGTTTTAAAGGCACACCGCACTACGCCATGGTTGTGCACCAGCAGATGAAAATTACAATTAAAAAATGCAACAAGCACGTCTCTTTGAAACAACTGGAGTATGCCGTTTGCTTTCAACCTGGTTAAGCACTGCCTCCCAGAAGGCATCTAGGAATATAATCACCAGGGATGGGGGACTCAAGTTGAGGGCCTCAACGTCAAGTCAAACTGAAGTCTCTCCAGCGACTTGATTTGGACTTGACTCAGGTTTTTCTCTCTCCAAAGACTCAGACTCAACTTGCAGCTCAAAACCAAACCAACCCTCCCCCCCTTTTTTTTTCCCTGGAGAATAAAGCTTGTTTTTAATAGCGACTCAAACTTAAGAGAAGTCTCCCTGGAAAAGACCCTGATGTTGGGAAAGTGTGAAGGCAAGAGGAGAAGGGGACCAACATGAATCTGACCCAACATGAAATTGACCCAACTCCGGGAGGCCGTGGAAGGCAGGAGGGCCTGGCATGCTCTAGTCCATGGGGTCACGAAGAGTCGGAGACAACTAAACGACTAAACAACAGCAACAACAAACTTAAGGCTTGGGACTCAGATCCAAAGACTTGCCAACATCCCTGCTAATCACCTGGTAAACAATGCACACATGCGCACGGACGCACACACATATTGTTTTAAGGGGAATATCTGCTGCCCAGTCCACAGTGATAGTAAAAACAAATAGGGAACCACATTGCCCTCCCTTGCACCAAGAATTATGTGACACTTCTGAAAGATTGTAGTAAAAATATGTGGTGGTCTAGGAATTTTTTATTATATTCTATTATTATACTATTCTATTTTCCTTTGCCAAACAACTCCCCCCAATTAAGTACAAAGCCAACGTGAAAAGTGGGATATATCCTGTTTGTTTGGTTTTGTTTTTGGTTTCCCTACATTTCTACTGAGGGTTCAGGACATGATTCTTATTTTTCTTCTTATTTTCTTTTTTTTTTCTAGGCGCACTGTTCTGGTCAATTTGTTTTATTTTCCAAAATGTCTTCTATTATTACTGGTCAGGAGAAAAGATGGAGAGCAAAACTCTTATTCTATCAGTCTCGTGGCTTGTAAAATTTCACCAGGTGTTCGCTTCCTTCTAAGACCATCCTTGCAATCTCAAGAACTGGAGATTGTTTTGTCCCAGCTAAGAAAAGACTCGTGCTGGCTGGATAGCTCAGTTAGTTAGGTCTCTGGCTGTGGAGCCAGAGGCTGGGAGATCGATTCTCCACTGCGCCTCTAAGGAAAATAGCCAGCCTGTGTGGCCTTGGGCAAGCTGCAAAGTCCCCAGGGCACCCCCGTGGAAGGGAATGTTAAATCATTCCTGACTTCTCCCTGTCTGGAAAACTCTGGAAAAAGGTTGCCATCAGAACTGACTGGATGGCACATTATTATTATTATTATTAAGAAGAGATCCACTGACTCAACTGGTGAATGGGAGGCTAATATTTATGTGAATCCCACTGCGCCAGTGGGTCTACTATCAGCAGGATACTGGCCAACAAATTTCCAGAAGCTGAATTTCCTTCCCAAGGACAGAATCGCCACCCTAAAGCAGAACAGCAGCATACA